TGGTCAACATGCCAAACATCCTCAAAGATGCCTGTTGCCATGCTAGAACAGGGATGGCAGATAGATATGAAAAGAGGAGACAAGACAAGACACGGCTCTGATTTACTATTTTGTCTTTTATTTTGATGCAGTGAAGTATTTAATTCCTGTTATATGTGGTGGTGGCTGTGTATATCTGTATACTAAATCAAAACCATTGATATTTGATCATACATATAGTTCACAATGATTGGAAACTTGTTTTTCAAAGTTGTTTCAGTGACATACGGATGCTGTAATAGTTGTCAGTAAACTTATCACAACATATGTTGTTCTCAAAATTTGAGAATGTTTTATCCCGCCTTATTTCTTTTTCGGCCTGTTGCATTAGATTTGGAGTCTGCGGAGGATGTTGTCCATACAATTTACTTGCTGTGGCCTTATGACTACACCCAATGTACCATTGATGATGACGATGACGTGCTATCATTTATCCAGAGAAATCACAAGGCTGGATTATCGGAACATATTGTAATGGTACGACAAGAATTTCATAGCAGTTTGTTTCTTGAGCTATCGGGCCACATAGATCGAGTGCAGGCAGCTTGTATGAATTCATTTAAGGTCCTATATTTCTTGGACAATAAACGGGCTGTCCAAGGGCAAGAAGACCCAACCAGAAATCGAAGGCAATAAAATGTGTTGTCAACGTCTCTGAGACTGGGTTTTGAACAGCAGTCTCCCCCCTGCCTCCAACCACCAATAAAACAGGGCCGTCAAACAGAATCACTGCTGATAGCATCTGGCCTGGAATTCGGAATCACAGCGACAGTAAAGTAAAACATTACTCCAGGCAATGCTGAATATGCATTGTGGCACCACCCCCATAGTTTAACGATTTACTTCTTGGAAGTTTCCTAAGAAACATAAAACATCCTGGTAATTTAATGAATACCAGATACTTTACCAAGGAGAAATAATACAAAAATAGAAATGGAATAGTTTCTAGAATCATCGGCCTCCTTCCGTCTGAGTAGACGATGGGCTTGGCACTGGAGGGATCTGGCACCGTCTCTAGTGGCTGAACAGGCCTATCCGTGAATGGCAGACTCTGCCACATGTTGAACAGGTGAACGTGGTGGTGTTGGAATATCAGCAAGCAAATTAGCACAATTGTCAATTATTAACTATTGCTATTATATTTAGAGCACGTATAGTATAAATTGTTATCTGTATCCTTTTTCTTATTGTTTATGACAAGACAGTCAGAAAAAATCTACTAACACATTCCAAAGAGGTACTCCGACACTGATGTTAATTAGTACCATCAACGTAATCATGTAAGATCGATAAAAAGCAAATTACGGTAGCATTTTTACGCATTCTTCTCAGTCGTAAACATTTCTGTATAAGTGAGTCGGTGGGTATTAGGTCTTTATTGAGATTGCTCGGCAGAACAGAGTTATTCGTTCAACAGAATCGTGACGGTCTTATTTGCTACAGAATCTGGACATTTCTATTGCAATGATGTCTCCAGTAAGACGAATTTGGTCATAACGGCAGATTTGCTTGTTGAATGATGTGTCCTTTTTGAAATGTGCGGCAGTGTATTTATCAAAATATGTTACACACATGTGTTACATCTAATAACGTAACGATTTTTTTACCCTTGACATATGACAATTAAGACACCAGGCACGATGGATTAAGCTTCATTGAATGTATAGTGTGTATTTATTTTATATAGTGTGTATGAAGTGATTCTGAATAGAAAACGGTATTTTTACCTCAGTGTATCACCATATTTTCATGTGACGACCTAAAGGCTGGAAATTAGGAAATATATTCACACTAGATACCATCTGTCGAGAGGCTAATGATAACGCTGATATAGTCCCATTAAACTTGGTAAAGGTCAAACGAAGATGGAAACACAACCCACAAAAGCCCTTATCAGCGGATTGCGGACGTGCTCAGTTGAAAGTGACATTGCCTTGTTTCATAACGGCATTTCATGTTTTATGTTTTACTAGCACACGTTCACATAGTTCAGGCTGAACGAGCCGGAGAAGTTAATTTAACGCTATGCGTGCAGATGGGGCAGTGTTGTGGGAGGGAACCATTTGTTCCGGCACGGCAGCCAACATTCCAGCACCAAGGTTATGTCACCTAATTAGGATGGTACCACTAGAAATGGAGGGGTGTGATGGTGTCAGTTTACAAGCTTTGAATGAAACAAAGCGAATGCCAAACGAATTGAATCCTGTACCACTTAGTAGCAACTCAGTAGACCTGATGCACATGTACATGCGACGGATCATTTTTAAGCATGATTTGTAGTTCCCTTCGGGTACATTGAAAATAACATCCGCGAAATTAGATTTGCTAACACATTTATCATTTAATACCGAATCTCACCCATAAGAGCCATTATACATGACATCTGACCCATACTATTGCCTCTCACAACGACCTGTTAGAGCAAAAGGACACAAGTAAGTGGCTTTATCAAGCAACGTGTAATAACTTATAATAACTTGCAATATATGCTTTTTCAGTAATTATTATGTACAAACGATGTTTTCACCTGCCTTTGCCTTTGGGCCTTAAAGTGCACTTTAACCTGGGTAGTTATACGTCAGTTCCTCGTCTCAAACACGCTATCCTCATATTAAATCTCCATGTCAATCTGACGGTGGATTCCTGCCCACTGACACACAACTGACCTACATCTGTAGATGTTTTATTAAACGTTCTACTCAAAGGGATGTAAATGTCTCGTGTTCGTGTATGTTTGTGTCTGTGGACACGATAACTTGAGAAGGCTTAAATGGATTGTCTTGATATAATTGGTAGGTGGGTAGGTCTTGATGAGACCTCCGGTTTTGATATGATCTACAGACATGCTAGGATGACGAAATTTAGATGGTAGATAGCTCTTTTGCTGGGAAGAAGTGACGTGAGTTTGGGCCCCCTAGCGTCTTGCTCTGGAACTGCAGGGCTATCTGTTTGAAAATATTCAAAAGAGGATAACTCAAGAATCGCTCGACGGATCGTCGTAATTTTTGGTATGTAGGTAGCTTACGTTATGCTTGATATAATTATGTGACAATTACGAAAATATGGATGTAACTTGCATAACTTTTCGAGAAATTCTATAAATCAGGTGCATTACATGATAGGATTATTGAAGCTTGTGACATTGGTAATTGAGAGAAACACAGGCAGATATTAATTATATAAATGAAGACTTAATTTGCATAATTAATGCCTGGAATTTCATACTTGTGGTATTTGAAAGTTCAGTGAAGGTGAACATCATTAAACATAATGTATTCAAATCAGGACCTCACTTGCATAATGTATGCGGAAATGCTAGAATGGCATTGTTTGTTAATATAAGATTGTCGTTTGCTTGAGAATATGATAAATTGATATTCATGAAACTGAGGATCGTATTTACACGATCAGGGGGTATAATCTACAAATTGTCAGTCATAAAGATTAACATCATTTGGCGAAGGTATGAGATCGGGGAACTCTAGTTATCACATGCAATAACCACTCTGCCTTCTACGCTTATATATATATATATTAGCCTCAGAGTACTATTAGACGACTGTTGGTAACACATAAACAACTAAAGCAGATGTTGTCTGCTATAGTGTGGATACTAGAAAAGTTTATTTTTTCATGTTGGATATTTCAGCATTGTAGGGACAGTCATGCCCGTGGTCATGTAGGACAGGAGTGCAATATAATACAAAATATCGGTACATCCTGGCATGGTATCACCAAATTTATTTCCCTATTAAGATAGTGCAGTATCCGTGTCCGCCCATTTGCAGTCACCATCAGCATCAGTCCTAGTCCGTCAGGCCCTGTCTGTTGACACGTCATTACCAGACAGCCAGCAGCCCGTAAAACTGCAATCTGGCGGTAGGATAGCTTATTATTATTATTCAGGGTAAACAACGTAGTTTTGCAGATGGCTAGGCATGTTTTTATTTAATAAACAAAAGGACATAATTAAATAAGTTGATGGTCCTTATTTCTTGGTAATGTTGATGAGGAATTAAAAAAAATATGTGTCGACATTTCAGAATGAATTATCTTAATGTTATCGAAGTTATTTTGTGTTTCTTGTGAAATTTACATACATATAAGAGTTCGTTATGTTGGGGATAATATCATTACAGTATGATAGCAATATTGCAAATAGATGAATTATCATCGGCAATTTGTAGCTAAGCCTACAAAGTTAACAAATAGGGGTTAGCTTTAAAGTCCAACTAGATAGTGACGATAGCGGATGAAATTTTCAGATCGGCTTACAGTGTTCCTCGTAGATATGTATCTTCCAGTGTCTTCTGAGCAGGCAACTCAAGACGGAAAGATCACCTCTAGGACAAGGGATTATGTAGTAAGAAATAGATGCGTCTTTTTATTGATGGGAATTTTGATTATCGTTGAACCCTTCCAGGCAGTATTTATTTTCTAATGAGATTTATTTCATGCACCTCTTTTCCCAACGTTACACGAGATGTCCATCTGCCATTAAGTTGGTTTGTCGCTATTACACTATCAAAATAAACATGTGTATGAAAATATCTACAAGTAATATGTTTTCAATATCTGTGACAATTCAATTTCCATAATCAGTTTTTCAGTTTACATGATATTAGGATTAAGAACCCCGGGAAATACGACTGCTAAATAAACAATATGTGATTGTCTATCACAAGATATTTCAAGCATTTAAACTTTAAGATTCGCCTAAATGTATGATATACAACATGTGTGATATCTAAAAATGTTGATCATATACACGTCAGGTTACAAAATACACAGTAATGTGTGTTTTCTGTTTCAACATTTATCGCATACATACAGCGAGGAAAATGGATGACGAGTGTATAATATATTCATATATATTTATTCATAAATATTTATACATATTTATATAATGTTGCAGTATTGTTGGTCTAAAGGATTAGGAACACGTACATGAACATCCGAGGGCAACAGATTGAATTATAACTTCATGACTTGACGACACTATAGAATTGGAGACTACAGTCAATGGGTTCAAAAAGGAGTTGTGGTTTCCTATATTAGCTATCAAATATTTATTCTAAACCTGATATGATTATATGTATCTAGAGTTTCTTTTTTGATATCGGAATCATTCAATCATTATCTTATCTTTTGCCAGCAATCTCTCACAGTCAAAATATCAAAATATCAAAATACATGTAGCTAACGTTACGAATTGCTACTTACGTCCAGTTTTACAACGTGACAAATATAGTTTTTGTCCATTTGCATCATCCAGATGTGTGTTGCCACCACCCGCAGTTTGTATGGATTATTTTCCTATTTGGCAAAGGGTATTAGCTGCACAATACGTGATTTTCAGTGTTAACATTCGACCATTTACACATGTCTAGAAATGTCACATCCAGCCGGCTATAACGTCAGGTGAAAACGGTCAAGTAGACATTCATGAAACTACCATATTTGTCGAAGGTCCAGTTCGTTTCTAAGGACGTCATACTAAAACATCTTGGATACACGATTCAACAGAAGCAGTCGATGTTATTGGCATACCGGGGCTAAACGAACAGGTCGGAGACAGTCAAAGTTGAGATTGTTTCCCGTAATTCAACCCTTTTCGCTCCATCTGGCGGATTCGTTCAGACACAGACACAGTTTTGTATTCCTCAACGTCATCATCAGCGTCATCTTCCTTCCCGTGATGCACTTGGCACAGTTTAACCTCGTTCCCATGGAAACCTCTTGACTTCATCTCCAGAGTGACGTCATCCCGAGTATCACGTGACTGGTACATGACAGGACCAGGCGAGGCTGAGGCTCTCTCACGTCGTCGGGGTTCTGGGATTTTTTTGGCCGAACATACTTCGTCAAACTGAAAGTCAGTAAGACTCCCAAAATTAGAAAATCAATCTTCAAACTGATGCAAAGCGTAATATTGTCAACTTAAATCGAAGAACCGATTGGATTACGTAATATCATCATCTAATCTAGACACTACTGCGGCTGGACACTTTTAGACACAGTCATTTTTGTAAATACATACCATCCGGTTTTCGAAACTATTGCAGATTTCTATTGTAAATTTCGTAAAAACAATACATTGTCGATAAAAATATATTTGACCGCAAGCAGTTCATCTCAGAATTGAAGATACTACCATGATAACCAACCGTAGGTTACACCTCATTACGATGAGGTTTACGAAAATCGCCAGTAGCAAGATGTTAACCCCGACCTCATTAAAGAACAGTCCGAGTAAAATGTACTGCTGCAACCCTCGTGACTACCTTAATGTGCCATATGATATCTCAGTTCCCTTCCCCTTGTTAAAGTTTAATTTTCTCATTTAGCACAGCCAAAGCCCTCTGTGATTTTATGTGCAAAAACGCCTTCTTTCATCAGGGTAAGTCTCAATCATCGAGCCTTTATGTGTGTGCCTGGTGCGGATGAAATTAATTCTAATTCTGTTCACCGACACCCTGGCTCCGCGGTGGAGGGTAATGTGCCGAGAACCTCGTAAAAAAGACCCCTGTCAAATTGTGTCCGCTAAGCTCAATATCTGCTTCATCAACCCCATCTCGCCAAATGGTTAGAAATGAGGTTTTTGTGTGGCTGAAGGGGCGAGACTGACGAAACTGTTAAATTGCATCGGTTGGAAAATCCGAAGACAAGGAGGAAAATGAAACAATATGTCCATTGCATGAAAATGTAGGGACGTAAATATTTAAGTGAGACTACATGACAAAGTAACATGTGTCAAAGATATGGTCAACATGCCAATGATCACAGTAGGTTGGCTTCGCTGTTGTATATACCAAGTGAATTTGTTTGACTTTAGATTCAGTACGTGTTGTTTTGAGTGGGTGCTCCGAGGGTTTGTGTCCGAGGGTTGGTGGGTACGATTTTGGGGAAAGAATAGGTTGAGAGCACATGGGTGGAGAGACAGAATATTCATAACACGTCAGACGCAGACAATGAGGGTGAAATTGAAGGTCCCGTAATCTCAAAACAGTGATTGATTGTTGTCAAAAATGGTTGCTCACAGTACATTTAAAGAGCTAATAACGTATAGCATATAGTAGAGGGGATTCATTCATCAAGCTAACCGACATCTTGCACATACAGTCGTCCTGGAGCCACATAGTTCCTGGTACATTTGCTGGTCGTTTTCAATCTCCTAAGGTTACGTGATGGTGTTGTTTTGATCTTGAATGTTGTCTGAATGTGGTGCTCTCTTGGGAAATCACCTACCTGTGCTAACGTCTGCTGCACATTACGTTCTAGTTCTTCTCTGTCACTCCTTCTTGCAACTGAAATATGAGTATGCCATAAGTGTAAGAGACCTTTAACATCATGTGATACATGTGTTTTCAAATATCAGCACAGTATTTTAGAATTGCGAAACAAGAGTTCCGTTTGACAGGGGTTAGTCCTGAGTTGTTCTGTATATTACGGGGAAGAATAATTAATTTATTTGGGAGTAAAAACAAGTAAATCGATGAATTCAGTCCTTTCTTTCCTTGAATTTGTACGTTTCGTATAGATTATAGGAATATACTACTATAACAAAGAATTTATTGGCATTGCTAGTATTGACCACTTTGGTGTCCTCAACAAATAAGGTCTTGTTATCATTCAGCACATGTAGTTGTGTGAACTTGTGTCCGTATCGAAACAGCTAAATTTACAGGATACATGTATAGAATGGCTTTTTCCAAACATTGTACGACGTTTTTGACTGGCCCATCATTCTAGCGACTGTTTGTGATTGTTGCCGCCCTGTACACTTGGTAACGTACCATGATGCGGTCTGTGTACTGGAGGGGTTGACACAAGCTCCACGTAGTTGGAAGGGAAAAGTCCGACCTTCCCTTTGAGATATCCAAACCACCAACCACCATTTTCACCTTTGATGACCTCTATGACGTCATTGGCCTCCAGTTTTAGCTCATCACTGTCTTGGGGCGCGTAATTGTAGAGAACTCTGGCAAATTTCTTATTACCTAACATAAGGAGATCGAAATTGATTTCTCCACATCAGAAAGGTAGAAGGAAAATAAAACTCTATTTATAAAGAACAACATTTAACGACACAAACGACTAAAGAATGTTGTTTTTAACCACAGAAGGTCATCTGTATATGCTACTAAGTATATAAACAGCAAACGTCGTTCAAAGGTCTCAGTGTTTTAGTAGCTAGTTTAGAAGTAATTAAACCGCACAGCACAAGATTCTAAATTCACCACGTTCTCCTGCTTTCCTCTTGAGCCGGTCTATTGTAGAATAGTCCACCTCTTGACATGCACCTGAAAATAGCAATGGAAATTAGCTTCATGTATATTATATGAAATATTTTGCGTCACTGCATTTATTCCTTACATAAATAACAATCAACGATGTTGAGACAATCAAAAATAATTTGACATTCAACATTCAATACAACGTATATCATGCATGGAGACTCTGGCTGTTATCAGGTAAAAGAAAAAACGGTGCTCAAGCGCCTCCAAACAAAAATTCCTGAAACTGCATGCAAAAGCTGCATGCATCAGTATATAGCTTTAAACAATGTTTAGAGTTAGATGTTCAAGGGTTAAGTGTAACAAGTCGTTCGGTGTAATGTAGCCAGCTGCCGCGTGCCTGCAAAGCTGGTGTGTTACGCCGAAGGGCGGTTATACCGGCTATACAGATACAGATACAGAAATGCGTTGTAATGAATCAATAGTTTAGCAGGTTGCCATATCTTAGCATGAAAGTTCATTTGTGTTGGTACAATTCATTATGAAACAAAGACTAAACTTTAATCTTCTTGTGTGACAGTGAGTGTGTCCAGCAAAGGGAGGGACTTGTTTTTTGCATTTTGGCACCTGCGCGCATTGCGTCGTTCGTTCGTTTTCCTTGACCTGACCATTTCCTGCAGAGGGGGCCCTGCCTGGCCCTGACGGCGAAGAGCTTTATCCTGTATGTAGTTGCTTTTATAGCTGAGGTTTATTGAGGTTTATTGAGGTAAAACTCTCCTTTAGCTGCCCACCCGAAGGTGGCAGCTATTCTTCCAGGAGAGGGAACATACATAACAATACATACATAACAATACATCACGTACAATTACATATACATTTACATTACATAGTATTTAAAATAAAACAAGTGTGTAACATCGCATGTGCTCTACTTATTCGTGTCCCTCATGTGTTTTAGTAGGTCTTGTTTGAACTTCTCATGTGATGCCACTGTTTGCAGCCCATGTGGTAGAGAGTTCCATGCTGCAGTAGTTCTGTATGTGAAGGCTTTTTAGTGCTGTTTGTTTTTGGTTTGTCTAGTTTGAAGGTGTTCCGAGTAGCATATCTGGTTCTGTATGTGTGTTGATGTGATACCGGGCACAGTTGATTGTAGAGTATGGCTGGTTGTTTGGAAGACATGATTTTTTTGAAAGTGCACATGTTATTGATGTTAAGTCTCTCCTCCACGGTCTGCCAGGACAGTTCCTCGTGAATCTGATTCACCCTGGTACGGCGATCACATTTCAGAATCAGTCGCCCTGCTTTATTTTGTAGCGTTTGTAGTGCAGTAATGTTCCTTTGAGAAGTGGAAGACCATACGGATGTGCAGAGGTGAGGTGAGGTGAGTCAATGTGAGTGATTCTGTCAGGAGTTTCAACAGCGACCTGTCCAGGTAGGACACGTTCTTTCTGATTACTCCCAAGGAGCAGGCCATTTTCTTAATGATGTGCTTTATGTGAAGGTCCCATGTGAGCATGTCATCAAGCACTCCTCCAAGAAGTTTCATTTCTGTAACCTGCTGGATCAGACTCCCATCGGCGTACAAGGTAAGTACGGGTTTCTTTGAAATTTTTGGTCTGCTCCCTAGCACCATGCATTTGGTGTAGCTCTGCAACATTTCAAAACTAATTGTTCTTACTCAGAAATGTCAATACGTTTTATTTTGAGACAGGAATCACTATGCTTTTATGCTTCAATCATTGCTTCTTTCGTCCTGCCCGGACCTGACCATTTCGTGCGGAGGGGAGGTGGGAAGGGGAACCGCTATGTATAGTTGGTCGCATAGTCGGGCTTGGATGGCGCCTTTATATGGGCGAGTGATGCCTGAAATAAAGATAAAATAACTTTCTGCCACCTGTGAAATTTCCTCCACCACACTTTTACTTTGTCTCCATAAGACACGTCATTAAAGACAAAAGTCTTTCTTTCAATCAAAATGATTTTCTCTACATCTCCCTAGCCTATTCATGTCTATGTGCAGCGTTTGGTCCAAGTTGATGTAGAGTGGCATATGTATTAAGTTATCTCCGAGCAGATGCAGGGCGGCATATGTAAGATGTATAACATGTCACTATGATAGCGCGCCAAAATGCCAGCTTTTTTTTAAGCCAATTTTTCAGATTCGAAAGTGAACTTTATGTCAGTATCTAGACTGTCCACTGGCGTAACATCTGTACAAGAGTGGGCTGAGGCAGTGTCGATCGCTACTCGTTAAAGATGTTCTAAATAGAGGTTGCAAACAATGGGGGCACAGGGGACCCCATCGCCGCTTCATGAACTTGTTGGTAAAATTGCCATCGTAAACAAAGTAGGTACAAGTCAGGCGCATATCCAGTAAATCCACAATTTGTTGGGGATTTAAAGTTGTGGTGAGAGGGTAGTATCCTCTGTGAGTTTGTATAGGATAACCTTTTTGTCTTGGATAACCTCTACATGAGAGCTCACAGACCTACCCTGAACAGAGACGGGGGCGACACAAGTTATCTGGCACGTATGACCCGCTACTACAGCCACGTGTCTCTGACGTCAAGGTCTAAGAGTAGACGGGTCCATTCCGTTAACAAGGTTGACGGAGTCAACTGAAAATTTGGGTTAAGTCCCAATTAATTGTAGTGCTGGCAGTTAAAGTTTAGTCTTATTTCATAGGTTGCCATCTGATAAAAATATATCAAACGTTATTTTTTCTCTCGCTTATATCCACACACTCAGTATTCATATGGGGATTCAGAGCGAATAATCATGATCGTAATACACTTTATAGTCATGTATGCATGATTCAGTAAAAAAAATAGTGGTAAGCTAATGTCTGTACCTTTTTCCATGTCCCCTCTTCGTGGACTTCTTGCTGATTCCTGTTCTTCATCGTCACGTAACATCCGGGAACCCATGCCGTAATAAAAGGCGTACTTTTCACGCTCTTGTCTTGTTCTTTTCCTTCTTGCAGAAAGTTAGAAACTCGCGTTAGAGAAAGAGTTACACATTGCCCATAACAACATTGCATGCGAAGAAGCTTAAGCTTGAGATTGAGCAGTCAAACTCGCTGTAGAGAACGAAAAGCTGATATTTCCTAGAGATTACTCAAAAAGGTGACATCTAGCGATTGTGTTTAAATGTTTTCAATTACAACAAGCACGATAGATCGAATATGTGTTTGTTGCGATTGAAATACCATATTTGCACGCATGTCATGAATTTCGATCTTCAAGGTCACCCACGTCGACGGCAGTAGACGGCAGTAGACGGCAGTAGACGTGGGTGCAGTAGACGGCAGTAGACGTTACATGCTACATGACCACTACAAAATGACGGCATAGATGTACTATCCGGCTTATATTTGAGAGAAGGTGGATTTACGAATTACCTAAGATCTAACGTGATTCGTTTCGATAGAAGGTTGGGACATTTTGGCCCAAATTTGACCACCGTGATATAACATATTGTCAATGTCATGAAAGCTTTGAACAAAAGCATCTTTTAGGCTTGATGTTTCCTCGTTCCATACTGAGGACAAAGTCACAATTCGACGAACCTGATGAAAATGATGGCGATGACCACACACGTGACAAACCAGATCGTCCCTACGCTTGCGCCAGCAATGACGGCTATCCGGCTCAACCTGTCTTCTCCGGAATCTGTGCATATACAAAAATATTCAACATATGAACTAGCCATATATCAATGCTTAAATTTATGTTTTTTTAATAACACAGGGTATTTTTATAGCCAAGTTCCTTGTGTAAATTATGGATTTTTTAAATATGCAATAAACGAAGATTTTGCTTTTACAGGAGAGTGCCACAACGTTCAGATGCAAAGTGGTCAGATCATTGACCATATGTCCCGATCTACTGGATCCGGAGGAAAAATCAAACTGTTGGATTACTTACCCCCTTCCCCCCCAAAAAAGAAAATTTTTTGCCTCCTTTATTATAATTACACGCATCAGTTCAGCTGCTTGTAATTATAAAGCACTTCCTAATTGTACTGTTTTTACCTTTAACTGTAATCCTAGTTGACTTTGACTGCGCTACGCCCAGACCGTTAGTGACTGTGCATGTATATTCTCCACTATCGTTCTTCTGTAGGTTGGACAGAGATAAGACATTGGCACCGTTCTCTCTCAGTTGAATGCCGGGAAGGGATGTCGTACCAGCCCTAGACCACGTCACTTCCGGTTCAGGATTGCCTTCCGCGAAACACTTGACCTTGATAGAACCACTTAAGTCCACCGTGGCAGATTTGGATATATTCAGGATGGTCGCTGGATCTGGGAATACAAATAAGATGCAAACAAGATGTCGATGACTTCATACCTTCGCCATGTATAAGTTTGTCAGAGATGTGTCACTGTAACTTTTATATAGTTTTACTTTTATTTTGCTGGTATGTGAACTGAAGGATGTGTGTGATACATAAGTCGGAGTACAGAAAAATACGTTACACGACTGCGGACATTTTTTTGACAAAGTCACGATGCTTCTCGTCATTATCGTCACTCCTGGGTGTATTTTTGAGTGCTGTGGAGTTTTCATGTTGGTGGTTTCATTGACTTGCATGCTAAAGAGTTGCAGTCCTTACCACAGGAGGTTAAGCTGGTTTACTGTTTATACTCCCATTGGGAACATATGTCCCTAGACAGAAGTCAACATCTGTTGCATACCCCCCCCCCGCCGGCTATCTTTACACAAGTACAGAAATTTTCCGACATAGTCACAATGCTTGTCACTGTCGTCACTACTGGGTGTATCTTTTAGGGTTTGAAGTGCTGTGGAGTTTTTATGTTGGTGGTTTCATTGACTTGCGCGCTACTGGAAAGAGTCACAGTCCTTGGGGACAGGACGTTAAGCCGTGGTCCACTGTTAATGCTCGCACTTGGAACATATGTCACAAGACAGAAGTCAGCATCTGTTGCTTACATCTGTTCAAGTACCTTGATCCACATGCTAAGCTAGCTAAATGTCAAAATTAAAAGTGCCGCTGCAATACTTTAGAAAGCCACTAGAATGGCCCAAATTCGAACTTAACCTTCTTTTCTACACAAAAAGCTACCTACAAAAAATGTATAAAAACATCCACAACATCAAACGTCATCCCGTCTAGTCACATTCCGCCATAAAAATGACCATAACAGCTTTAAAAAGCAGCTATTTTGCTGTCCATAGCACGAGATATAATACCATGTACCCCGCTGCAGTAGGAGCAAAACCGCTAGAGTATCCAAAATTTACCTTGACCTTCTTTTTTCCAACCTCAACGAAATATCATAAAGATACATGCATCACACCCCAAGTTATGGTCTCGGACCGGAGTTTCTCTCCGTATTTCGAGCAATTTGACACCCTCAGCCCGACGGGCTGTCATTTCTGTACTAAACGCGGGTCGGAATTTTTCACTCTTTTGGTGGAAAGGGGTGCCGTCCGCTTATCAATACACTTGATTGATATTTTCTGCGCCCAATTTATTTAGGGGTAAATGAGGCACATCAAAGTACATTTTGAAAAAAGGGGTCATTTTTTTCGTCATTTTTAACCATGGCTGCATGGAAAAAACGAATTTTCCCAGGGTAACGGCTTAGTACTCGAAGAAGCTCAGAACCTAATGTTTCCAAAATTTGAATTTAATTAAAATCGATGCGATAAGTTTATCGCTATCTTCGATGGCCCGAACACACCCAGAACGCATATAGAACGTACCATCCCGGCGGTCAGGCGAAAAGGCCACATAACCATCCGCGCGGACGAATACCAGGAAGTCTTAGCTGGACCACCAACATTACGCCACCTATAAAGGCTACAACTAACAGGCTTTTCAGAAAATACAAAGATATGTACACAGATATTACGATTTCAGGGATATCGCGGCCAAAACATACCATACAAAGTCACGTTTCCGGCGATTTACTGCGCACTTACTTAGACTCTGGTCAGAATTAAACTCCGACCCGGAACCTTATAGCCGATTAAAAAAATCAGCAATCCCTATGTATGATGTACCTAAACTTATAACCTTCTGACGAAGGTAATAAAGCCAACAACAGAAGAAGGGTTAAGGGTCACCGAGGTGTCAAGTAGCCATATTTGATTTCTCAGGTATCATCTGCTATTAATCAAGACCTTCAAGAAACTCTAGATCGCAGATGCTTACTCCAATTAGAGTTAGGACATCAGCCTTCAGCTCTTCCTACACACCCCGATTGGTCACTATATGGAACAAGCTGAAAGCTGCTACAGTCCCCCAAGTCACCTTTCTTCGGAAGCTTGATGAGGATACCCTCTTTTCACTCCGCTGGCACTCGTTCCTCTTCCCAGATCTTGTTGAAGAGGCTGTGCAGCGTGCTGACCGCTGTCTCCGTGTCAGCCTTGATGGCTTCTGCCGGTACCTCGTCTGGTCCTGCTGCCTTCCAGTTCTTGAGGGACTTGATTGCTTGCCTGATCTCTGCCTTAGTGGTCTTCTCACAGTTGATAGGCAGGTCTGCCTCCGCTGGTGGAATATCCGGTGGTGCGTCCGGAGCAGGTCGGTTTAACAGCTCACTGAAGTGTTCTGCCCACCTCCTAAGTTGCTCCTCAGTTGTGGTAAGTTTGTATCCAAATTGTAATCTGTATTTATATTGTAGTGTTTGGGACTGTGTATTGTACTATTTTGTCCTCCCTTCCACTTGTATATTTGTACTCGTGGTAAATTCAAATAAACAAGTAAACACCCAAAACAAAATGTGAGATAAAAATTAATATTTTCATCAGGTTGGCATATTTCATTGTCATAGTTACGATCCCAAAGTTCTTGTTGCAGCGCCACCTACCGGTAAAGTCAAACACTGGCAGGTAAAATCATTTTCGACACACAAGTGACACAACAAAGGACACTATTATACGTGGATTCAAAGTCATAGTTTTGATCGATACACTAATGCCATTGACACCATAATCATCGAAAAAATCATTTTTACTTACAAAGAATTTGTAGCATCAATCCAGCTTTCACGGTGTCGGTCACGTGATCTACCACGCAAGTGTATGTCCCGGCATCCATTTTGCTGACGTCATGGATGTTGAGTGTAGGTAACATGGCGGTCCCTCCGCCGTACTTCTTACCGGGTGTTGTCAGGGAAACGCCGTTTTTCTCCCAGCGTAAGGAAGTGATGTTAGGTTTGGCATTGACAACTGTGCAGGTCAAACTGACGGACGTGTCCCAGCGAACAATGTACGGGTCTTCAGGCCCAACTAAAACTGTCGGGCGTACTGACGGGAAATAGAAATAAGACAAGTATAATATGAGCAGTTTTTTTTTTTACATTAAACGAGATAAATGAACAAAAAGACGTGATCCATATGGGGCCAAGTTTAAAGTCACATGGCAAGGTCAAAGCTATCACATGGCCATCATATCAAAATACATTACGCAGACACCAGCATCACGAATTTTTTCAAATACGTTTTCTGCCGGGCCAAGAACGCCAGATATACTATAGACTTCTTTAGACATAGAGAAGATACAGGAGGGGCATGTATATATGCGGTCGTTATGCCAACAAGGAGGCAGAAACATGACAGTTTGCTCGAGAAAATATGCCAATTTAATCTAGAACATTGTGGTAGTTTGCTCGAAAGCAGGTAGAGGTCGCTTCTACACCTTATCGGACCATGTGTTATCTGAAAGCTCAACAAGCATTTTCACACGTTTTGGTAAATAATTTCACAGGACTTTATCATGCACCTTTGCCAAAGTAAGCTGCTAGTGGATCTCAAGCCTCCTGAGAAGTATGTGAGAGTGAACATGGGTATACATAAATTATAAAAATCAGGACCTGGCGTATGTAATTGATAAGGAGATGATAGATATATGTTTTATATCTCGTTGTGGCCTGTGTTGTAGTTAGTATGTTCATTAAAATTTTTCATTAGCATCTCCATTAAACGTTTTCATTAGCAAATGAATACTTTTTAATGGATCTCTTACTAATCAAAATATACTTTATCATAGCTAAAACCTACGCCTAGCATATAACTCTACATGTACATCAAAGTATTGCACCCAAGTTGTAGGTCTTCAACCACTAAAACATCTAAACAACAGATTTCAGCTTTACGATATGATAGCAACTGTATTTCTCCTGTGTTTTTTGTGACCTGTTTACTGTATTAAATGTCTGCGATCTAAAAGTCGATTAATTATTTCCATCTTTTTTTACAGGTCTCAGCGGTAACATCTCGTGGTAAAAACGCTTCTTACATATTCATTTTGCCTTTTGCCGCGTTATAAGATTGATACATATAAAGAATATCTGCCGTTGATCAGATAGAACCCAGGAGAGTTCATTTTAGCTGCATAAGAAATTAATATCAATTAGAAAGGCCAACATTTGCTCAAGAGCAAATACAGCTCATTTCACCCATTCTTCCTCCCCATTCCCCATGCAATCCACACCACCCTGTATGTGCTTGGAGATTACCTTTCCATACAACCCTGTATCTGTTTGATTATACTAAGTTTGATCACATCATCTCAGCAGCCAATCAGCAAGGAGAAACTACTCCCACCTGATGAGAAAGTAGGTCATGTGTGCCAAATATGGATGTTATAACATGGAGTTATGACTCTTCCAATGAGCTCTATCTTATGTTTTGGATCAGTCTAAAATTACTTCTGCACATAATATGTACTTTTATAATTACCTCCTATTCTAATATTTAATTTTAAAAAAGTCCCTTTTCAAGAATCGGCTGTCCAGAGACACCATGGTACTTTATGGTCTAGGCCGAAAACCTTTTCATTCAAAATATTGACTTGATCATAAAATATAAAATTGAATTTTAAAAAGTGTCCCCAATGATGGGATCTCCTAGTGGTGCCATTGTCATGTCTGCAAAAACTTCAACAGATAATATTTGAAAAAGAAAAAAGTTAAAATTTTACTTTACTAACAGTCCTTAGAAATAAGTATTGAATACAAACGCTTGAATCCCCCGAAAAAAAATTAAAATGGGCAAAACCAGAAAAAAGTTAAATGTTGACTTTATTATTGACATAGCAATAATGATTAGAAAGGCCGATATTTGCTTTGGAGCAAATTCAGCATGGCTTCACCACATTTCACAACACGGCAGGGAAAGAAGGAGAAATACAATGGAAAACAATGCTTTACAATGTATATTGATATAAATATAGTATGAAGTGAAATATAACTAAGAATGCAACAGTTGGATAGCTCCCCCTACATTATTGGTTAGGATTTATTTGCATAATGCTAACTGTTGATTTTCAAGATAAAAAGGCGTTTATGCCCGGCATTCCAATGCTTGAGCAGGAAAGTTTTAGGCCGTGTTTATGTGAAGTCACCCAAACCGCGATTCGGGTAATTCACATTCATCACATCTGGTCCACGTGCCATACATTCCTTTTAAAACGTGCCCGATCACGATAGCGGTAGCGTGTCATTATTGTCAGAGGTCAACGACCTGCTTGATGGTGCCCCCCTCCCAGCGTATCTCGGCCGAATGCCGACGTAGTCCCGCCAGAGGCGGCGAACCTCGTCCTAGAACGGACACATTATTTGACCATTACTACTCTTTAAGTTGCTGACACGTAAAATTTGGTATTGCATATAAATAAAAGAAATATCACCCCGTAATCCATGACCAAGTGAAGTCACATTGAAATCACATTGCGTTCAGACGCAAATCGCGATGCGGGAAAACCGATTCGAAACCACCTCTAGAAGTGGCTTGGGATCGAGGCGCTTTCAATAGGATTGGAGCGTTCAGATGGAGCCACTTGAAACCGGCTTTGGGGTAAACCACATGTAAAGCGCCTTGGGTGACTTCACATAAACACGGCCATACATGCCTACACAAAAACACTTGAATGCAGTTCAATACTATTATGATAACAGTTAAACTTTACGTGCAGTTCAATACTGGCAATATGGTATGGCTATGTGCAGCTGTTAATACAGTTAACCCAATTAGATCTCAACAGCCAATCAGCAAGACGAATAGAGGAAAGCAGCTCATTTGGTTTAAAGATTTTAAAATTTTCACACTCCAATCTTGGCAACACACAAAGCTATAGCACATTACCTATAACACGCCAAATAAAAGTCCAAATAAAACCGTTCTAAAAGCAAGTATCAAGAAAATGAAAGAAAGTTCTAGAGGTATTTGCCCACTGTACCTTCATGCCAAATTTCATGTTATTTGGTCCAAAAATGAAGGACTTGAATCAATTTAAAGAAATGTCAGGAGAAGGAGAAGAGGAAGGAGAAGAAACATGAGGAAAAACAATATGACTTCACCACATAATCAACTATTAAATAAAAAAAAATTAAGTGAAAAAACACCCCTGGACTTTAACCCCTACCTTACACTTTGTAAGTTGTTATGTCTGGCTGTTTACCAATTGAGCTATGTTTAGAGATACAGTTTCTCTGTATCTCTAAACCCTTGCCTATCTATAGGATTTAAAGTAGCTTACAGTACATGTAAATTCCAATAATCAAATATGGTTTAAAGATTGCAAGATATACAATAATGTAGGCTATGTATCCATTGAATACAAACCAAGGCACTCTATTTCCTAGTCATTACTTCTAAAAAAACAAGGTAATTGTTCCCCCTATAAGTATGCACAGGTGTTCTTTTAGCAAATAAAGCAATTAGTGAACAGCCAATCCAGGAACCACATCTCTAATCAGAGACACCTGCCCCAGTCTCTATGCCAATATATACATGCATGCCCATATTTGGGGCCTGTAATCATGCCCAAATATGGTCACAGTCCGAATTCCATTCTTATTAGTCACGCACCCACACTATACAGTGCATTTTGGCCTGAAAACAGTCCAAAAGTCCCAAATTATACAATTTTAAAGGGGTACATGCCAAAATGTATAACGGATTATTGTTGGTAGATATATAAAGCATACCCATACCAAATCTCAGATGATTTGGGTGTAATACTAGGTCTCCAGTACCCAAATGTACAGATTTTGTCATAAAATGGCACACACAAAAATTTTTTTAAGCCTGTATCCAAAAAATGAAAATAAAGTCTGGGGTATTTTTCCACTCTACCTTCATACCAAATTGCATGTTATATGGCCCAAAATTGAATCCATTTAACGGGTGAAATGGGTGAAATGTAATTGTATAAAGCAACTTTTCGATGATAATGGAATATAAATCATAATTAATCGGAACAGTAATTTAGTATAGCTACGTAAGGGTAAATCCATCTACCTGAATTTTTACCTGAAATATTCACCGACAATCTATAATGTAGACATGATCTGGCTTAAGCCTAGGTCACAATTCACAAAAGGGGCCCGCGCGGCGGATTTGCGGGATGTAAATGGATGATTTCGAACGGCCGTAAAAGGGACCAAAAGTTTGTGAATGTTAAATAGAAGCTGCCTTGGCGCCGGCCGGATCACAACCGTGCCCCGACAGGGAGCCGTAAAGGAACATTTAATTTTGACCCTGGCAATCGGCGCACGCACGGCTTCATGACGCCGGCCGGCGCCTACCCCGGGAACATGCCGCGCAGCCCCGTTGGAAATGTGACTCCAGCTTAAGTGGCTGTTAGTCTGACACACTCCTTTCTTCCAAAGAACTACTTTGGTAAGTTAGTCTAAAAGTCTCCCTATCGCATAGATACACCTTGCGAACCTTGGCGTGTGGATCGCGTTTTAATGTCATTTGATTCTTGCAAAAATACACGCCGCATTATGCACGACGGCCCGCAATTTTCTATATACATTTTTCTCCGTTTCGCTCTACTTACTTTTGACACATACTGTGTGGCCCATTACAAGTATGCAGCTTCCTTTCTTGTATAAATGATGTGGCGTGCGCCGTTGTATTCTAAAGAGGTATTTAAAGCTGTTTGATGTGAAAAATATTACAAACCTCTGGACGGATGCCATTTTATTGATCTATGGCAGCTTAAGAAACAACAGTAATTTTAACATAGAAGCGTAGTATAGTTTTGTAGCATTTCTTGGAGTATATACGTGTAGGTTCGTGTATAATATGCAATATGCAGTTTGCATCAAATATAATGTGCTCTTAGCATGTAACTATGACCATCATGGAATTCGAATTTTTAAGAGTAGCACAAAACATGAAACCTTTACGGTTATTCACTTACCCATTACATTAAGCCGGACATATTTTTCCTCCTGTCCGACTATGTTTAGTACAACGGTGATGACGTAAAGACCCTCATCTTCCAGTTTGGTCTCGTTGATTTCCAGGGAAGCCTTCCCGACAAGCTGTGCGCGACGAAACAAAGGGCCATGGGAGTATTCCAGGTTGGGAGAGTAGATGTAGACCATCTGAGAGAAGGAAGGCAAACAATTAAACTTATCTTTCATACCTTTGAGAAGAAAATTAATTGTTAAGCACATTGCATCAATTGTAATCGTCTCTTTTCTAATACCACTTAATTTATTAGAGAAGATCTTAAAAATAATCAGAGAATATGCAAGAACATTTCATAAAACACGTTCTCAAGCGTAACTTTGATATTATTACAGTACCCGTTCCGAGATAACTCATAACAAAACGCAAACAACGTCATCAGAACACGGAGATCAGACATAGACTTTACCCGTCTGGAAGCTTCTACGCTTTTACCTTGAAGTTAGTAAGTCGTGTGCATCAGTTTAAATCTTTATTTTAACATTTATTATCCTTACTGACATAATTGTTTATTGGTGACATTTGGTGAAAGATCTTACCTTTCTCTCTCCGCCCATTCCTCCCACCACCTTGGACCAGGTGATGGATATGACTGTCTCAGTACTATCGTAGGTCGCCGGTAAGGTCACCCGCTCGTCCTTGATACCATTCACGGTTTTCGGCACCTTCAGTCCTACACCAGTGCCTAGCGCTTCTGTAATAGATAAAATAAACACATATCAAAGGTGATCACCCGGCTGAACAAAATGTACATGAGCCTTATCTTGGTTCATTTATTTCCATGGGTCATCATGACTGATGCTGTATGGCCAATGAAATGCACTGAAAACACCAAATTTGCCGTTATGCCACAGGACCACAGACGGTGTGGTCGTGTGGTCTGGTCACTATGCAAAAATCCCCGTTGCTATGTGAATAGGCCCCGCCCACTAAGTGTCTGGCCGGCATGCCTACATAACACCCAGCAGCGGGCCCGAATATTTCACAAAAAAACTCACGACCGGGAAATCCTACAGAAAAACTAAAATAGGAACCTACAAAATCGATATGTTGGTTATGAAAGTAGGTAATTATAAAGAAGTGACAAGCTAACGCGGCCCATGTGCAAATGTCATTTTCGGTCGTTGACCTTTTACCTTCAAAACGCATTTTTTATATTTGTGCGTAAAACAACACCTAAAGGCATTATCTAAAGATCTGCCTTTGGAAATTTCGCTACGTTCTCAGGTTTTGGCTGTCCAGTAGATTTTAACTTATTTTTCAAAATTTTTGGTACATTTTCTCCCATATTCCCTTTCGGCGAGAACGTAGGAGAAATTCCAAAATACAAAATGGCGGCGGCGTTGTAAACTTTCCGGTCGTCTTGGTTTGATCAAATTCTATTTTGACAAACTTCAGATATTTCTTAAAATATGAAATGTACACTTTCCACATGGGATTGTTGAAATGTTTTGGAGTTATAATGAGGAGAAGAGAGGGCATTTTTAGCGCCCTTTTGTTCAAAAAACAAACATATTCAAATCCGTTGCCCAAGCGGCTATTGTATTCGCTGAGCTCCCCAAGCGTGATAATTGCCCGGGATTTTCAAATCTGCGAACGAGGTACTAGTACACACTTTTCCCTGTTTTTGTTCTGTCCAGCCAAGGCGAGGAGGTTTAAAAATAAAAATATTTAACCTCCTTCGTCAACCAGTTTTACAGTTTCTGAGATAAAGACGCGGCTTGGGCTTTACGCCTACTCTCACCTCTTGAAGTTAAATAAACGCTCATACTACAAATAATTGTTTAGAAATTCATTCTAGACCTGTATTGTACATAAATACAATGTGCATGGCTAAATACATTCCATGTATATTGTTGTAAATACAAGCAGTGGTGTAAGCCAACTTGAGCCTGATTGTGTAGGAACTTGTTGCGGCATTATCGGCTAGCCGAAACTTCTCATGTTTCGTCCTTGGTTCTGCCGAAGTGTTGCCGATCTCGGAAACAACGTCTAGAGGAAATAAAGAGATAACTACAGATTGAAGAAGTGTTAACTCGCCGGGATGTCTAAGATAATAAGATCTAAACGTGTTGCGTTCAAGAAACACTGACGGTTCATGCGCTAACTTACAAAAATAGGGAAACCAAGATGGCGCTGACAAAATCAAAACAACAACGGAGAGTGGAAAGATCGACGTCGGCAGTGTTACAAAATAGCACTTCTCATGTAACGTTTGTTACTTTGTATCAATGGCTATATTTTCAAACAACAAGATCACTTTTAAAGTACAGGGTTTATTTCATATTTTGTAGAAAAGGGTATAAGGGCGGCTTTTTAGTAACATGTAGTCTAACGTTATGTCTCATCGAGGATTTTGGCTTATCGGCGTTCTTCGAATTCTTGCCCGATCTTTGCCGGTCAAGGGTAAACCTAGTGGCCGCCACTATCTGAGTAATTTTACGTTTTGATCGCAACTGAGTTACACAGAGAGTTAGAAACGATATTGTTCTGTGTTTGTATGTACCAGGCCAGAAAATGATTATAGCTTGTACCCACGCTATGTATTGTTAGAATGTGTGAAATTAGAACAATTGGGGATCAGGAGAAGTGCGCATATGAATAGAACAGTTGGCGGGAGAAATTCGCAGGGGGCAAACAGCAAGGTAAACATTCCTAGAGCCGGCCCACAAAAGTGTCAACCAATCATGGACAGTTGCCAATGGTGACAAGTGCGATTGACATCTTATTTTCATTAATATTAATTAGCTACGAGTGGGGATTTTTGAGGCCGTTTTAGACCACCGTATGGCGTAACGGCAGAGTGCTCGACTCGGAACCAAGAGGTCCCGGGTTCGAGGTCCTGACATGCCACCGATCCTGTGCCCTTGGGAAAGGCACTTTATTTGCCCTGTATTTGTTTCTATTTGCTGCCTTTGTCCCACGTGTATTGTATTGTTACAATGTTTATAAATCAAATCAAAGTTTGTGACGACACTATGGTAATGATTAGGGCTGCGGACCGGTACACTGTACCGGTCCAATACCGTAAAAATCGTTTCGGTACAGGTCCAAAATACCGGATCATGACGTAACGAGTATATACCGAAATAGCTAGTTTACACCATGTATATGACTAAAGATAGGTAAATCCTACCACAAAGACGAAAAATTAGCACTGGAAAAGACGTAAACACCGTCGATTGATTTGAGATCCTCAGTCTCACGAGACATCGCGAGAGTGTGGCTGATCCAGGGTTGTGATTGGTCAACAAACTCAAATCAGGTCAGAGGTCAGTCATTTTCCCTTCCCTCCAACACTTTATTATTGTTTCTGTGTCATGATTGAAAAAGTGAAGAACACGTGTTAATTTGTCAAATTGTTCAGGTACAGGTACAGGTCCGGACCTGTACCTAAACCTCTGTACCAGTACCTGTACCTGTACCTGATGTTACGTTTAGGTACGCAGCCCTAGTAATGATAGATACAACTTACTAGATTTCGTGGAACACATGCATTCGTCGGGCGCAGTTTTTACCTCCATGAAAAATGGAGGTATTGTTTTTGGTCGTGTCTGTCTGTATGTATGTATGTATGTATGTATGTATGTCTGTGTGTCTGTCTGTCTGTGTTTCCGCAACTTTGTGGTCAGCATAACTTCAGAACGCCTTTATGGATTATGATGATATTTGGTATGTTGGTAAGTCTTAGGAAGACAAACGTCAAAGGTCAAATATGGGCCTCCTGGTGGATGACCTTGGTACTGCAGCAGAACTTCCGGTGTTTGTATCTTTTGTCCTGAACATGCTATGGTCTTGATGTTTTGGTGAAAGATTGCTTTTCCTGTGAGGAGTAAGTGGTGTGAGTTTGGTCCCCCTAGCAGCTTGTTCTGGAACTGCAGGGCACTTTCTGGCGAAATGTTTAAAAGCCAATAAGTCAAGATAGGAACAACATATTTTCATAATTTTTGGTGTGTAGGTAGCTGACAGAGAGATGTACATGAGTAAATGCAAATTATGCAAATGAGGACTTTATTTGCATAATTAATGAGGAAATTCTATAATTACAGTGTTTTACATTATACTACTTTCATACATGTAATGTATGTAACCTATGGCAGGCAGAACATCAACAGATACTAATTATGCAAATGATGACCTAATTTGCATAATTTATGCAAAAATTCTATGATTTCTTAATGGTGAATTATGGGAATGTCATACTTGGGACATCTGTAAGTTAATCAAAAGTTCACATACATCACAATGCATATATCATGTAAATGCGGAGGTAATTTGCATAATTAAAGAGGAAATTTACATTTACATATCAAGCTCATATTTCATGGAGGTATGAGGTCTCGGAATTCTTGTTTTTTATTGTTTTTTATGTTACTTGGTTTAAACTTATTCAACAGGGTAATTTTTGTTGGCGTTTGTGTGTGTTTGGTGTGTGTGTTTGCTGTTTGTCAGATTGTGATTACAATAAGTTGAGATGGCTTCGTGGCATTTGAAGGTTAAGTGAAGGAATTTTATACTTGGGGTATTTGAAAGTTAAGTGAAGGTGAACATCTTTAATTATAATCTATTCAAATAATGGCCTTATTTGCATAACTAAGGAGGGGATGCTAGAATTTCATTCTTTGTTAAGGACATAGCGTCTTTTGGTGGGGAATATGATCAACTGATATAAGTCAAATGAGGATCCTATTTGCATAATCAGGGGGAATAATCTATAAATCGTCAGCCACTAAGGTTAACATCATTTGGCAAAGGTATGGGGTCTCGCAGCTCTAGTTGTACTATGTATGATGAAATGTTGTTTGGTGTTTGTTAAAATATGATTGTCATTTGATGGGGAATATAATAAGCTAATTTGATTTTTACGATGTATGGATCTGATTAGCATAATTACATCCGTCAAGAAGGTGTATAAATGCACAAAAGCCCGCTACAATTAGATTGGAAAAAGTAAGGTGATCCATTTTTTAACTTGAAGTACATTTTAACACCAGCTACCTAGACACCAAAATTGTTTTTAAATGTGAGGACAAATAATCTAGTTATAACGTCGACCTACATGCGAATGCAAACTAGGCCCAAAACGATATTCTTGACGAGAGTCATGGTTAAAGAGGGAATCTTGATGACTGGAGCTAATATAATGTTAGTATAGTTATTATAAGGGTAGTCTTAGCAGCTCTTAGGATACATATATCATGCAAACATGTTTTTATAACTATGCGAATATATCACCATACATTGTGAAGATAATAGCACACACCTATTAGGCCATTGCATCATATTTACATCTACGTCCCACAATTTCTAATTGCAGCTAACGTCACCGTTTTTAATGAAGCCATCTTAATGACAGGCTGGTCCAAAAGAAGCACGTTGACAGGAACGTACTGCGCCTGCATGAAACCCCCATTTTTGACGGTTTTCGTTGGATTTTTGGCCAACGTTGCATCGGAAGTTTGCCTGTTGCAGATATTTTTCCGACATAACTTTTGGAAACTACAGACGGGATATTAACCTTACATGCGCGAATACGACCTTATAGGTACAAAAGCTGTGGTCAGCGTAGGGGCTAAATTCAACAGAGAAGTAGCTAAATTCAACAGAGAAGTAGCTAAATTCAACAGAGAAGTAGCTAAATTCAACAGAGAAGGAGCTAAATTCAACAGAGAAGGAGCTAAATTCAACAGAGAAGGAGCTAAATTCAACAGAGAAG